ACTTGAAACTCACAGTGGGTGTGTGTGCCCACACTTTTTCTCGCTTTCTGTCTCTCCAGCAAGTTCACATGCCCTGTAGCAAAAATCTCTCTTTTTAGGAGAAGAAAAGACCCTGTTTCGGTCACTATCTCTGTCTCTCTCTCTGTGTGTGTGTCTTTTCCACTCACAGAAGAATTAACTGTTGAGTTGTCAGAAAAGTCTTGATGTATATTTTTAGAGACATTTTTGCTATAGGGTCAGTGTGCTCGCTGGAGAGACAGAGAGACAGAAAGCCAAAAATCACCCTCTGGGGGGATGGCCACACTGCAGTCCCTTCTCCATTGTCCTCTTGGGATTCTGGGCATGCACGCATATGTGTGCAGCATGAGTTTGATGCCACCGGGTCTGGGACTCGAACTGCGGTTGACCAAGTGGGAGTTCAACACGGTAGCCATTATGATCCCCAAGATGTATTATTTTCTATGTAAAAGTGCATCCTGACTTTTCTGACGACCCAACAAATAAACTTTTTTTGTTCAGGTTTTTGCCATAGGGTGCTTGCACTCACTGGAGAGAGACAGAGACAGAGAGCAGAAAAGTGAGAAATCATCCCCCAGGGAGGATGCCTAGCCACAGCCCCTTCTCCTCAGCCTCCTCTCAGGAGTTTGGGCACGCACACACACACACACACACACACACACACACCTGGCATGATTTTCACAATGCTGGTTCTGGGACTCGAACTGTGGTTGGCCACGTGAGAATCTAGTGCCTTAACTTCCATGCCACCTGCTGACCTGGGGGAAACAAAGAAGGCTGTCTCGCACTGAGGTAGGGCGTTCTCGGCTTCAGTCTGACCAGCTCTGTGCACTGTCGCGCTCCTGTGTAAGATGCAGAGCGCCCGATGGAACACATGTCTTGGTGAAGGCTGTCTTGGAGTCAGGGTGGCAGATGGCTAAGATTGCCACTGTTGACTCACTGGTGCAGCGTTGCCCAGAACTGGATTACCGTCCTTGGGCTGTCAGAGGAGATGATGTCAGGGAATCGCACATCTGCTGCTTTGCACCTGGCAGGAAACCGCTCAGATTCTCCGATCGCCGGTAACAACACTGATCGAGTTGACTGCGATCAAAGAGAAGGTATAGACAGTAGTGCTGTCTTCGTCTGTGACTGGATTGCTAACAGAAAAACACGAGGCTGGGTGATTTATAAAGAATAGGGGTCTGGGTTAGCAGGGGGCGTGGTGGTTAAAGGCTCTGGATTCCCACATGGCCAACCGTGGTTCGATTGTTGGACCTGGCAGCTTGTTTTCTCGGCTTCCCTTTCGCTCTCTCTCCATCTCTCTCTGGTCAAATGAAAAAGTAATAATAGCACATGGAATTAAGTAAATTAATAATTCTTAAAATTAAAAAAAGATTAGAGGTTTAAGAGCTGGCAGGTGACGTGATGGTTAAGGTGCTGGACTCCTACATGGCCAACTATGTTTTGAGTCCTGGACCGAGCGGCTTGATTTCTCACTTTCTCTCTCCCTCTCTGGTTAAAGGAAAATACTACTACTACTACTACTAAATACAGTTACATAAATTATTCTTAAAACAAGAGGAATAGAATAGAGGTTTATTTGCTTCATGATGCCAGTGTTGGGAAAGTCCAAGAGCATTGGACTGGGATCAGCCAGGCTTCACATTTTTCATTGCAACATGGCCAACAGAAGCAGAGGAGGGACCAGCAGATGGCATAATGGTTACATTGCTGGACTCCCACATAGTCGACCACAGTTCAAGTCCCGGGGCCAGTGGCTCCAAACTCATGTTGGGTGCATGTGTGTGCCCAAGATCCTGAGAGGAAGAATGGAGGAGAAAGGATTACAGTGTGGCCATCCAACTCTTGGGGAGTGATTTTTCACTTTCTGTCTCTCTGTCTCTCTCTCTGGGGAGCACATGTGCCCTATAGCAAAAATCCCTCAAAAAAAAAAAAAAAAAAAAAAAAAAGACGAAAAAAAGAAGCAGCAGCAACAGCAGAGGGGAAGGTAGGTGCATGCAAAGAACTGGGACACAACCCATGGGCCTGCATGGGAACTAATGCTTTCCTGCTGGAAACATGGACCACTTTCTCCAGGGAAATGGGCATTAGTAGATTAGAGGATGGTGTCTTCATGATCCAAACACTGCTTAGCTGCTTCACCACCATCATCTTGGGACAAAGCTTTCAGCACATGAACCTTTGGGGGACAAGCCATAATCTGAACCCAGCAATGGGCAAAGAGTGTATCAGAGAGAAAAAACACTTTGGTATAGGTAGAGTCAACCAGATGACTTTATTATTATTTTCTTAAATTTAGATACCTCTTAAAACTTTCTTTCAATTTCCATTTAATCACTGTACATCTTTACAGTGTTCAATGTGGTTTTTCCCAGCATGAATATAGTGCATATAGGCCAAGTCAAAGATATTGCCATCTACATTGTCATCCACAGATAACCTCATTTTTGTTTCTGTTAAATGTTTTTTTTTAATTTCCCCAATGTCCTCCCTCCCACTCCATCACTCCCCACTTTACTGTGTCTAATTTCTACTGCTGCCCTCCCTTCAGTTTCTGCCATAGAGTGCAGACATCAGTATATATTAAATGGGGACATACAATGCTTCTCTTTCATAGTCTGGCTTGGTTCGCTTAGCAGTAAATCTTTCATATTTATTCACTTTCTATCAAATGTCAGAGTCTCATTTTTAAATTTTATTTATCATCATTTTTTTTTAAGTTTGCTGTAGGGTATGTGTGCTCACCTGAGAGAAACAGAGAGGTAGAGAGAGGGAAACTGAGAAAGTAAGCCACCAGGTCTGGCACTCAAACTGTGGTTGGCCATGTGGGAGTCTAGTCCCCCAACCACTACAACACCTGCTGGCTCCCATTTTTTTTAAGGTTTTGCCATAGGGCACATGTGCTCACAAGACAGAGAGAGAGAGAGAGAGAGAGAGAGAGAGAGAGAGAAGTAACCCCCCCCAGGAGAAATCGCCATGCCACAATCCTTTCTCCTGGGATTTTGGGTATGCACACACACGTAACTAGAATGACTTTTAAGCTGTCACATCCGGGATTCAAACTGTGGTTGCCCATGTTGGAGTTCAGTGTGTTAACCACCATGCCACCTACTGCCCCCTGGAGTCCTTCTGAAGGACATGAATCCCATTCATAGGATTTCCACCCTCATGACCTAATCACCTTCCGACGGTCCTACCTTCTAATAGCATCATCCATTTGGGGGTTAGGATTTTAGCACACAAATTTTGGGGAGACGCGAGTGTTCGATCCCTGTTAGAAATCTCTCATGCAGTCGCAGCGTGGAGATGAGTCACCTGACCTGTCTGATGGATTCATTGATAGATGGGCAAGCTGATCATGCCCATGTCTGGAGCCCTGAGCTTGCCCCTGGCACCTTCAGAGACAAGCTAGCAGAGTTTGGCAAGGTGGCTGGTGGTCTGCAGTTGCCTTCTGCAGGAGCCAGGTTGGGTGGGCTCCCCAGCAAACATGGAGGCTCCCCCCTGAGTCCCTCTTCCTGTGCAGAATCGACGAGGACCGCTAAGCTGGTATCAGAAGCCGACAGGTGCATAGCCTGACCTTGGAGCGTGAGATGGACTCTCGAATGCAAATGGCTTTCCCAGTGCATGGGGGATTTTTATCCATAGAACTGGGCCCTCCTGTGTGTGTGTGTGAAGTTAGAAAAGCGTAATGGGAAGCAGGCCTGCACGGACTGCTTCCGAGTTCATTTTGTCCTAATCACCTTCCGACGGTCCTACCTTCTAATAGCATCATCCATTTGGGGGTTAGGATTTTAGCACACAAATTTTGGGGAGACGCGAGTGTTCGATCCCTGTTAGAAATCTCTCATGCAGTCGCAGCGTGGAGATGAGTCACCTGACCTGTCTGATGGATTCATTGATAGATGGGCAAGCTGATCATGCCCATGTCTGGAGCCCTGAGCTTGCCCCTGGCACCTTCAGAGACAAGCTAGCAGAGTTTGGCAAGGTGGCTGGTGGTCTGCAGTTGCCTTCTGCAGGAGCCAGGTTGGGTGGGCTCCCCAGCAAACATGGAGGCTCCCCACTGAGTCCCTCTTCCTGTGCAGAATCGACGAGGACCGCTAAGCTGGTATCAGAAGCCGACAGGTGCATAGCCTGACCTTGGAGCGTGAGATGGACTCTCGAATGCAAATGGCTTTCCCAGTGCATGGGGGATTTTTATCCATAGAACTGGGCCCTCCTGTGTGTGTGTGTGAAGTTAGAAAAGCGTAATGGGAAGCAGGCCTGCACGGACTGCTTCCGAGTTCATTTTGTCGTATCCCTCAGGTCCATGAGCTCTTTTATTTATTTTATTTCCATAGTTTATTTCTTTAAGAGAAAGTTTTACTATAAGGTGCGTACGCTTACCAGACAGCAGACAGGAAGCGAGAAATCACCACCCCCACCCCCCCCGGGAGCATGGCCATGCCACAATCCCTTCTCCATTCTCCTCTCGGGATTTTGGGCATGCACGTACACACACCTGGTGTGAGTGTAAGCCACTGGGTCGGGGACTCGAACTGCCGTGAGCCATATGGGAGTCCAACCATGTAATCATCACGCTATCTGCTGGTCCTACTCTGTGGCAAAATGAAAATAAAAATCCCAACTCACAAGGGGGCAGAGCTGTGCCTCCCCGAGGGGCGTGATGGCAGAACCACACTGTCAGCGGTAGAAGTGGACCCAGCTCAGGGACCTCTCCCACCTCCTTCTGCCTCCTGTTCCAGGGGCGCCGGGCCCGGGGGGAGCCAGGCTTACCCGGCATGTCTTACCGCATGTCTTACCGCGCTGTCATTATGCAGGCTAATCCTCTTTATTACAGCCTCCGTCCTGAGCCGGGGACTCCAGGGAACAAAAGCGCAAATAATCGAACCATAACTCCCTTTGGCATCCGGCACCTGTTGGGGCGCCATTCCTACGGCAGCGTCCTCTGCTTTGACATCTTACTTTATCTGTGTTTCCAGCTTTCCCCCCGCAGCCTGGACGCGTGGCTATCGTGACCGGTGGGACGGACGGCATCGGCTACTCCACGGCAAAGCGCCTGGCGAGACTCGGCATGCACGTCGTCATAGGTGAGTTCTGGTTCTTTCCCATTAAGACAGATGTTTCCTATAGGGCATGTGCATGCCAGAGAGACAGAGAGACAGAGAGACAGAAAGTGAGAAATCACCCCCCAGGGGGGACGGCCACGCCGCAATCCCTTCTCCTCCGTTCTCCTCTCGGGATCTTGGGCACACACGCACACGCGCCCGGCGTGAGTTTAAGCCACCGGGTCCGGGACGTGAACCGCGGTCGACTACATGGGAGTCCAGAGACATAGACATTACGCTAACTGCTGGTCCCGGGATTTGTAATATTCTTTTGGGTTTGAATATGTGTCCTCTATTTTTTTCCCCTGTGCATTTTTTCACTGAAAGAAATCAATAGATAGATAGATAAATGAGTACCCTTTATCTGAGATGCTCTGGACCAGGTATGTTTTGGGTGTTTTTGCTCCCCGATTCTGGAAGATATGTATATGGTATCTTGGGGATGAGTCCTAAATACAAACAGAAAATTCATGATGTCCCGTAGACACCTTACCCACCCAGCCTGAAGAGAGTTTTATATAATATATATATATTTTTAAAGATTTTTGTAAAGGGACCAGCAGACGGTGTAAAGGCTGTTGCTGGACACCCACATAGCTGACCTTGGTTTGAGTTTTGAAACCGGCATCTTAAAACTCATATCAGGTGCATATATGTGTGTGCTCCAAATTCCAAGAGAAGGGACTGTGGTGTGGCCAACCCCTGGGGGGTAATTTCTCGCTTTCTGTCTCTCTGTCTCTCTGGCAAGTGCACATACCGTATATCAAAAATCTCTCTCTAAACAAAGAAAAATAATTTTTTGCCATAGGGCATGTGCACTTGCTAGAGAGAGAAAGAGACAGAGAGAGGGAAAGTGAGAAATAATCTCCCCAGAGGGGATGGCCATGCCACAATCCCTTCTCCTCCATTCCCCTCCTGGGATTTTGGGAATGTGTGCACATATGTGCCCAGCGTGATTGTCAAGCTACTGGGTCTGGGACTCGAACCACAATCCGCCATATGGGAGTGCAGTGCCTTAACCATTATGTCACCTGCTGGCCCCCTTATAAAATATTTTTGTATCACTGTATTTTCACTGTGACCCATCCCATGAGATTAGGTGTGGTGTTTTCGAGCTGTGATATTATGTGGGTGATAAAAAAACTTTCAGGTTTTGAAATGTGTTGGGTTTTCGGATTAGCGATTGCTTAACCTGTATCTTTATTAGTGTGTGAGAACTGTGAACTAAGTACCTTTATCAGACAAGGTGGCTTAAACAACCAAAATGCTTTTTAAAAATAATTATTTAATTCATTTATGATCATCATTATTATTATTATTTAATTTGCTATAGGGCACCTGTGCTCACCAGAGAGAGACAGGGAGAGAGGGAGGGAAAGTGAAAAGGCAAGCTGCCAGGTCCAGGACTTGAACCAGGGTCAACCACGTGGGAATCCAGTACATTAACCACCACGCCCCCTGCTGGTCCAGCCCTTAACCTTTATAAACCATCTAGTCCCAGGTGTTCCTGGTTAGTCTCACCATCGTGGGCCAACACGCCCCATAACTGTGGTTTTGCTTTCTGCAGTTTCTGATAGTCCTGGCCAAATGCGGTCTGAAAATAATAAATGCAGGATTCCAGGAATGAGCTACTCGTCAATTTTTCTTTCTTTTTTTTTCTTTTTATTGAGAGGTTTTTGCTACAGGGCACGTGCACTCACTGGAGAGACAGAGAGACAGAGAGACAGAAAGCGAGAAATCATCCCCCGGGGGGGTCGGCCATGCTACAATCCCTTGTCCTCCGTTCTCCTCTCGGGATTTTCGGCACGCACACACCCATGCCCGGCTTGAGTTTCAAGCCACTGGGTTTGGGACTCGAACCGCAGTTGACCACGTGGGAGTCCAGCCCTTTAACCTCTACACCACCTGCTGGCCCCATGTACTCCTCAGTTTTAAATTGAGCACTGTTGTGTGTAGTGGGATGAAATCTTCCACCATCCCACTCAGGGTATGAGTCAACCCACTTTGCAATGTACCCACACTCTGCTTCCCGTGTTAGTCACTTGGTAGCTGTCTTGGTTTTCAGATTAAGAAATAAAAAACATATATATACACCCCCCCTACACACACACACACACACACACACAGAGCTTATATAAGATGTGATACTATTTGTGGTTTGAAAAACCCACTGGGGTCCTGGAAGTCCTCCCTTGCAGCTCAGGAGGGAATCGCTATGGAATAAAATGATCCACTAGTGAGTTTAGCGACTGTGGTGGTTTTGAGGTTGGAGGGCCATACACGTCACGAGTTGTCCTTAACCCCTGAACTGTGGTGTGAACATGCCGGTGGAGTTGTGGACACAGCACGGGTCCTGCCACACTCGGTGTGTTGTTGTGCTTGTCCACAGTAGAGGGGATTGCTAACCGTCTACTGGAGGTCAGTCACGTAATCCCCCCTTTCTCCATCAAAACTCTTAGGTCCTGTGTTCCATGTAGAGACCCCTAGGGATCTTTTCCTTTTTCTTTCTTTCTTTCTTTCTTTCTTTCTTTCTTTCTTTCTTTCTTTCTTTCTTTCTTTCTTTCTTTCTTTCTTTCTTTCTTTCTTTCTTTTCTCTCTATTTGTTTCAGGGCACACACACTCAACAAAATGAGAAGACATCCTCCTGAGGGTGGGAGAATGGCCACCCTACAATCCCTTTTCCTCCATCCCCCTTTCAGGACATTGGGCACGCACATACGTGCCCCGGTGTGTTTTTCCAAACTGCCGAGTCTGGAGCTCACACCGTGTAGTCAACCACGTGGATTCAGCTCCTTAACTACCACGCCACCTGCTGGTCTCTATCCATCCTCTTAGTAGATAGGGAAATTTTCCATTTTTGACAGCATCTTGAAAATTCTTTTTTCTTTTTGAGAGAGATTTTTGCGATAGGGTGTGTGCACTCGCCAGAGAGACACAGAGATAGCAAGAAATCACCTCAAAGAGGCATGGCCATACTGCAATCCTTTCTCCTCCACTCTTCTCTCAGGATTTCGGGCATGCACATACACACACCTGGTGAAACTTTGAAGCAGTCGAGACCAGGACTTGACCTGCATCAACTACTTGGGAGTCCAGTGCCTTAACCACTGTGCCACCTGCAGGCTCCAACACCTTAAAATGATAAACACCAAGGGTCATAACTCTTTTGTTGTCCTAGTTCGTTATGGCAGTACTGACAGAAATACTTGCGCCTGGGTGGATTTAAGAGAATAGGGGTTTATCTGCAAAACTGTTCATCTTGGTGTATGAAAAGCCTAAAGCCATAGACTTACAGCGTGACCGGTGACAAGATATGGGATGGCTGGCAAGTGCAGACACAGTGAACTATGGGTAGCTCTCTGAAGAAACCTTCACAGAAACCAACTCTCCTGAGGACTCACTTCTTCTCATGAGGGCTAGAACTCAACAGGTCTTTTAACATATAAATAATTTATTTTTAAGATTTGCTTCCATAACACAGTCTTCATGAATAAGTTGCCTGGTTCACCTGTTCAAGGTAGGTCATAATGAGGTTTAGTTGGTTTGTATCATGAAAAGGTCTAGTTGGAGTGATCTAGTTGACTTAGGTCATGATGAAGAGTAATTGGGCAGGTCATGCTGAGGTCTAGTTGGGTAGGCCATGCTGAGGTCTAGTTGGGTAGGCCATGACGAGATCTACTTGGGCTAGCCATGCTGAGGTCTAGTTGGGTAGGCCATGACGAGGTCTAGTTGGGTAGGTCATGCTGAGGTCTAGTTGGGTAGGCCATGCTGAGGTCTAGTTGGGTAGGCCATGCTGATGTCTAGTTGGGTAGGCCATGCCGAGGTCCAGTTGTGTAGGCCATGATGAGGTCTTGTCACAGTAGATCATGCTGAGGTCTAGTTGGGTAGGCCATGCTGAGGTCTAGTTGGGTTGGCCATGGTGAGGGCTACTTAGTCTATGGTGAGGTCTTGCTAGGTAGGTCATGATGAGGTCTAGCTGGTAGATCTTGATGAACTCCTTGGGTGGGCCACAATGATGTCTGTTTGAGTCTGGTCATGATGACATCTGGCTGGTTAGGTCACAAGCTGCCCCATTGAGTGAGGAGTTCATATTACATACACAGGGGTCAATTCCAGTGCACACATTCCTGGCATGGCTGGAGTCTTGAGTGTTACCACCTCACTTTCATGTGATATGTTCATCATCAGAAATGGTACACATCAACACCAAATGTGTCTCTATTTTTTCCTTAAAAAGCAAGCAGAAAGTGAACACTGCATCCTCGCTCTACCTGTGTCTTCTTTCTTGTAGATCTTCTTTTTTTGAGAGAGATTGTTTTTCTATAGGGCGTGTGCACTCACTGGAGAGACAGAGAGGGACAGAAAGTGAGAAATCGTCCCCCTGGGGGGGATAGCCATGCTGCAGTCCCTTCTCCTTCACTCTCAGGATTCTGGGCATACATGTACATGTGCCTGGTGTGAGTTTTAGGCTGCCGAGTCCAGGACTCAAACTGTGATCAACTATGTGGGAGTCTAGCAAGTAACCATTATGCCATCTGCTGCTCTGGCTTCCTTTTTTTTTTTTTTAAATTTCCAGTGGGTGTATGTTCTCACCAGAAAGAGAGGAAAAGAGAGAAAATACCCCTAGTAGGGCAGACTCATACCACAATCCCTCCTCCTCCATTTCCCCATCCTGTAGAGATTTGGGACACACACACACACACACACACACACACACACACACACACACATGCCTGGTGAATTTTTCAAGCCACCGGGACCAAGACTTGAACCACTGTCCGCCATGCTGTTGCACTGGCCGACACTGTGCTTAGCCATTATGCTATGGTTCCAGCCCTCCCACAGGGCTCCTGCTGTCTGTGTTTAACTTCCACCGTGGGCTACCCTTCTGACTCTGTGTGTCAGGCCAATCAATTACAGCATTTTACTCCGTCCCTACGACTTTGAGGGTAATTGGGTCTGTCCCGAGGAGACAGTTCTTC